CAGATGTGCTCCAGAGACTTTTAAACTCTTGCACCATTTCAAATTACCTGAAAATAAACACCAAAACACGAGCAGTACAAGAAATCTTACAAAATACATGAGCTGAACATTATTTAAACTAATGCACATGAAAAAGAATAAAAAATGATTCAAAATTCTAATAAAAACTAACCTAAAATATGCATAAAATGGCATCTATCAGTATGAAAGAGTATATATGAAGTTTTGGGCTTAGATCTGTATGGATTAAGAGCTTAATGGAAGAATTGACATTTTGCCAGATCTCACGATGTGGCCAAGGGCTTGCTACGTCGTGATGATTCTCAGGTGTATGATTGTTTTTGTCTTTAGTTGGCCACGACGTGACCAAGAGCTTGTCACGTCGTGGGGGTTGTTGACTTGATGACCGTTGACCATTGAATTTTGGTGCTAGTCGGTTTGAGGGAGCTATCAGTGTAGAGTGTGAACGTGTTGTTGTGTTTCTTGGGTCTCCGATGGTGAGTTTCCTCACTATACTATGTATTGTAGTGTATATCCTTGTATGTTAGGATATAAGAGTAGTATTTTATGTTGGTTAGAGTACCAATAGGTTGGTGATCGTCTAGTGGAGTTCCCTAGGGGTTGTATGTAGTTATGTAGGGTAGCCTGAGAACTCTTTATCTAAGCTTTCTTGACTTTTCCTCGTTTGTTTGTGGCTCTAGAGTGGGATCTCCTATTCGAATGTCTATCTCACCTCTGGTTACATATAGCTATGCATTCGATAGAGATATGCCAGTAGTTGTGTAGTACGGTATGAGGTCGGGTATACGGTAGTGAGCTATAGACTGGTAGACTAGGGTAGAGAGTTGCATGTGCTTATGTGATTACTTGATTACTTACTTGTTTCATATGTCGACATATTGTGGCGGGTGGGTTGAGGCGGTCATGCTTTGTGCTGTAGGCCAACAAACTCGGGAGCAATTCGGTCATAAGCTGAGGGTCGGGAAGGGAATTCTAGTCTTATGATGTGGGCTCGGGAGCAAGCTATTCATGAACTATGGGCCCTGGAGAGAGCAATCCAATCTTATACTATGGGTTTAGGGGTAATCCACTTTCATGTTGTGGGCCATGAGGGCAATCCAATCTTCTTGTTGTAGGTCCGGTGTGCATACATTGTATGTATATTCTGGTGTGTGATATTTTGGGGAAACTTAGTAAGCTTTGGTTTACAGTTGTGGATTAAATGTTTTTCAGGTACCATTGGTGATCGTGGAAAGGCGAAGGCGTGACTGTACACATTCATTAGCAGCCATGGTGATTCCGCTTCTAATATATTACTCTGATTTTTTAAACAAATGTATTTGGAAACAAATGGTTTTCGTAATTTGGATTCTATAAATGTGAAGTTTTACCTTAATTAAATATGAAAATTTTGTTGTGAAAATAGGACGTTACAAAAAAATATATAATATATTATACTTTTGTTTAGATTTCGAATCACCTAATGATTATGATTGGTTCAATCTAAATGCAATGGATATTATCATAAATTTACCGATTCCTAAATTGATTAATTCAATGGTCATATCGTTAACCCTATGATTTTAAGTTGTCTTCTAACAATGATAACTCCCCTAACCTCAGTTTATTATTTCATATTATGCAAGATTTAATTGGTATGATCGGTCCTATTGGTTTTGGAAACCTTTCAAATTGTCTAAATCAATAGTACAATAAAAACATTAAATCAGTATTCCTATGTCTAACCTAGGGACATGGCCTTCCACTAGTCATCATTGTCTACTCTCTTGACTCAATTCTCAGCTTGGACAAGTTAATGAACAGTATGATTCAAGATACATAATCTAAACTCAATCATAAAATTATGCACTCAGTTACATAGACAAAACAATACCAATATTAATACTCATGGATCTTTAACTAAGAAAACATACTATATTAAACTTCTTCTAATAACCTTTCAAATGAATCAAATCAAAACCAGTTCAGATCATCTACCTCTAAACAAAAGTATTACGGTTTATCCTATACATAAAACTACAAAAGAATAGAAAAGGGAAATACTAAAACTAATATACAACAAACCAATTATTCCTTTAAGAGCTTTCTGCTTTTGATATTCTCCTTGTTTTTGCTCCATTGTAACATCCAAAAAATCACAATAAAATATTTCATTTTTAATTAGAGTAAAATCATTGTTTCCAACCAAAACCCAAGTCATAAGAAACCAATGTCAAGTACAAATAACAACATGCATACTGGGCCGACAACCCCGATCATCTGAAGTACCTGAAACATAACACTTAAACCGTAAGCCAAAGCTTAGTGAGTTCCCCAAAATAACACCACACAAACAATTAACAACATGCATACTGGGTCCACAACATGAGTCATTCTTACCTTTCTGGCCCACAACTCATGTCTGGATTGCTCCCGAGCCCACAACATAAGTCTGGCTTGCCTTTCTGACCCACAACTTATGTCTGGCTTGCTCCCGAGTTTGTTAGCTTCCGTATAGAGTAATTTCGTCTCAACCCAACCACACTATATCGACATATGCAATAAATATAGATATAACTAGTAAACAAATAATCATACAGATCTAACAGATCACCACAATATAGAAACATCATATATACCAGGATATAGAACCGAATGGGTCGAAATTAGTACCTTCGACACACGAGTGCAATGAGGAAACTCACCTCACAGTCTGAAAAGATAGCAAAAAAAAACGTTGCTCCAAAAGTCAACTCTACAGGTTACCTATTCAACAAAAAGTGACCTAAACTCAAACTACAACTCAAAATACCCAAAATACCCTTAAGTCAAACTTGGTCAAAATTCAGGTCAAAGGTCAAAAGTCAATGAGTCAACTTAGACTGTGTACGCTCGGTGTACGCATCCACTACACTCATCGTAGTGCACCCTTGGCCCGGTTATGGGGTCCCAACCAGGTACGCACAACGTACCACCAGGTACACCCAACGTACTCGACTGACCTCTTTTTTCTCTATTAAGTGCTTGTTCTATTAAGACACCACGTCCAAAACTCAGATCTAGTTCCAAATAACATTCTAAGTCATAAAGTTTCCAACTTTATGACTCTGACTTTCCAAGGCTAGAAAGGGTCCAACAACTAAACCCTAACTTAATACATAAACCAAAACCTCATATCTCATGCATGAAGAAAGGAAAGGGACCAAACTCACATTTTTATGGTTCTAAGTACCTAAAAACGTCTGGAAGGACAACCCTTATGGGGTTAGAGTAAGCCATACTCATGAACACCAAGATTATGGGACTAAAATCATAAAAACCTAAGAACTAGCAAGATCCAAAGCAAACATGCATCAAGATCCAAACTTTATACCTCCAAAGGATGCTTGAGGGTGAGATACTTTTGGATCCAAGATGCCTTGAGCTTCCAAGATGATTTCCCTTACTTATTCTTCCTTCAAGAACACCAAAAATGCACTCTTAAGCTAAAAAAAGGTTCAGACAAAGAATGAGGGTTTGCAAGGGGTGTTTGGGAGATGGAGGCTGATGAATAAAAGGGTCTCAATGAGATAATGATGCTTAAATAGGGCAAACCCTAAAAATTAGGGTTTGGTTATTAGCCACGTACACCCTGCACACTTAAGTGTACGCCTAACGTACTCACAAGAGGGTGTGTCGCTCTAAACAAGCCATGGGACCAATTTTGCAACAAATCCAAAAATTTAGGGTAAAAAACGAAATTACCTGAACAAGGGTGTTACATCCATTTTCTCTAATATATCTCCAAGATATGCCACACCCTTTATGGACAAAATTAAGGGTCTATATATAACATTTACGAACAAACTTAAATCGTGGTGCGACCACGTAAATTTGGTATTTATCCTTAAAATCTTCAAAATTTCTTCTATGTAATCTCCAACTATTTTTCTTGGTCAGATGCAAAATATAAATATAAACGATTAAGCATCTTTTGTTCTATCTTTCTTATAAAAATGCATTAAAAAGTATATGAAATGTCTCTTAAAATATGTATAATTTAGGACATATCAGACTCATTGACTTTAAGTGGCTCAAAGGGTTTAAGTGATCATACTCATTTTAGAGCTTACATTTCTTCACAAGAGCGGTTCTTATGAGTCGTGAAATTTCACAGATCATATGATCATTTTAGGCTATGCATTGTACTCTTTATGCATCTTTTTACCCATTTTGTGCAACGTTAGCGCGACATCATTTTCTTCTTAATCTTTCACTCTTTCTTTCAAACCATGTTATACCTATCTTTCACTTTTAAAGTGCAATATACAAGTGCATGTAGCACTAGGCACAAGGGGGAAGAGGGGAACACATGAGACACGAGAGAGACAACTCTCTCACCAGAAGGAGAAAGAAAGAAGACAAAGGTAGCGACGTCCAACCACGTTAGGCATAGTTTTCACGGGCAACATTGAGGCCATCGCAATGTTTCCGGTGGGCACTAAGACCACGTCGGTCCGCTCAGCAGGGAAAGGCAAGTATAACAACCAACTTTATGGAAAGGCAAGTATAACACCCAACTTTATGATATGAGGTGAAAACATGGTTAGATAGTTATTTATGACCGTCCATTTTAGTAAATAAGGGGGTGTTTGACTAAGCTTATGACTTTTCATAAGCACTTTTCAACTTATAGCTTATAACTTATAAGCTAATAAGTTAGGGGGAGTTACTTATAGATTTTGACTTATTTCCGGTATGACACATTGATAAGTTATTTCTATACAAATACTCTTTTTAACTTATACCGGTGTGGAACTGGTAATAATTTAAAAAAAAAAGCTTAAATAAGCTTAGCCAAACACCCTCCTACCATCTATCCAAAAATTAGTTCTACAAATAGAAAATAACAGAAAATTTAAATTCATCATCCGTGGTGAATCAGTTCTGAAAATGAAAATGAAAAAAAGTCTTGATGATAGAAAAGACACCACCTTTTTTCCCAACCAATGCAGCCAATGCTATTTCCGAATTACGTACTCCAGATTACCAAAATCCTATTTCCCATTTCATGAATCTTGTTTCTCTTGTTTTTGTCCACTTCTTCTAACCCATTTATACAAGCAAATGACGATCGACTGCGAGATGATCCATGGTACACATACAGGGAGGCGACAAGAACTATAGGGATTCGAGCTCCAATGGCGCAGAGGAGGAAAATCGAGGTTTCCAATACCAATTTCGATGGAAATAAACCCGAAGTTAATGTCAGTTTTCAAAATGCTGCCAATGAAGTTACTAAACTCCATCATCAAGCTATGAATTCTCAACATGTTGCTTTTGATGCTGGTCGAAGACATTCACTTGTGAGAATCGCTAAACCCTAATTTCAACTTCCGTTGTTTTATGCTTAGATTGATGCAATTAGCTATATTGTCTACTTCAAATTCGTGGGATCTGATATGGTTTATTTCTCTAATTTGGGGATAATTCGGGTCGCACGTTTTGATTTTGATATGCTATTTTTCATTAGATGAACTGATTCTAGAACTTTTCCAGAGTTCATCGATTGCAGTATACCCATCAGCTTCTTGAAAATTTAGTTCATGTTTGACTATTTGAATCAAACTTAGTAACTTTCCAAACTCGCATGTCATCAAACTCTCTACAATTTTAGCTTAATTTGTTTCAAATTGATACATTTCTTTCTTGATCCTTTTGTGTGACAGTCGATCTTTATCTTGAAGACTTGAAATTCTAAATCCTTTTGCTAAATAACATCAAGATTTGTTACAGAATCATGAAATTTAATATCCATGAAACAAAATCAAAGATTCTGTGTGATGTTGCAGGAGAAAGCATTCGAATGGGTTTCATCTAAAGCACATGATGGAAAGTCGGTTACTTCATCAGAATTTATGGCCTATTTGCAGGTTGTTGTTTAGTCTTGGATCATTTATTGTGTTTATTGTAAGTTGAAATTTTTTATATTTTTTAAACTTTTATGCAGCATGAGCTCAATGATTCATCGGCAAATAGTCATCAAGAACTTAGTGAAAATATGCCTTGTTCTCAAGATCAGGATATGAAAGAAGAGCATCCTCATATGTAGCTTCACAAATCTTTGTTTTTCTTTTTTCGTCGTTTTAGGGAACTTTCAGATGCGCAATATCATGGTTGTATGTTGAATGTCAAAGAAAAGAATGATGGTATTATTGTAATTTCATATGTAGGAATTTTACATATTAACTATTTTGAGGTATTTCATGTGTATGAATTTTACATATTAATTATTTGGAGATATTTTACATTAACATTTTGATAAAAAGGTAGCTACGATATTTTTTTTCTTCTTGGTCCCTGTAGTTTTCAATTAGACAGAATTTGTCCATGTGTGAGAAAAATTATAAATATAGTCCCTGTTTTTAATTTCTTTTTTCCAGTTTAGACCCATGGCAGATTGGCAGCACCACCCAACTTTCATATTTTTCATTTTGGCACTTTTTTTAATTTTTTTTTCATGAATTTGGTCCAAACTTTATTTATAAACAATTTCTAACTTTATTTTTATATGGTTCCTAACATTTGGTTTGCTTTGATAAACCAGTTTTTCAAAAATTCTTTTATATTTTTTGTTTCTTTTTACATAATTACTATTTTTAAATATTTGTTTTTATTTATATTCTTATTTAAATGTTTTCTTTCAAATTCTTTTTCTATATTTTACCTATTCGTTTTTATGTATGTAGGTTGTGAAATTTTAAAAAAGATAAGTTTCTTGTAACTATTCCTTTTTCACAAAACTATACGCAATTTTTTTATAATTTTTTCTAGTCCTACTGTAAATTATGTAAGTGGGTTTTCGAAATACAATGGCTATAACTATGTATGTTTTTGTATTTGTGATTATGTGTGATTGTGTGTGTTTGCATGTGAATGTATAACTTTGTCGCTTGTTTATGGTTGTTATTTGTGTGGTAAAAACAAAAATTAAATTGTTATTTTTGTTTTTGCCACATATTCTTTCTTTCTCTCCAAATAGTCAATTTTCCAGAAAAAGTATTACTTAAACTCCCCTGCAATACTTGAGATTTTTTTTAACGACAAATCTAATATACTCCTAAATCCATCTATGTCCTAGATGAGAGTTGAATCATTGACCTCAAAGAAGAAGAGAACACTTGGGATTAAAACCCTTATTTGGCAACCATTAAACATAGTGTCGCAAGCTTTTTATCTTTGAAGTTCACAATTTCATGGTTATATTTTACATGCATAGATGGACAACTAAAAACATTCGGTCAATAGACCAAATCCGATCTGATACCAACACTTGAAAAGTTGTATGAATTGAAAAAATATGAACATTTTGTGATTTAACCAATATATTTCAGTTTTGTCCATGAAAACTAAGGGTGCAAACAAGTCAAGCTACTCATGAGCTACTTGAGATCGGCTCGTTGAAAGCTCGACTCGAAATTGATTTTAAATTAACCCGAACCAAACTTGAGCTTAATATTAAGCTCGTTTATTAAATGAGCTCGAGCTAGAGCCTTTTTCACTAAGCTTGATTAGGATCGCGAGCCTAAACAAGCCTATATATAATATAATTTATTATTATTTTTATATATTAAAATAAAAACATATTTAGTGAATTAGAGACTTAGGGTATTCATAAACGAGCTTTTTAACGAGCTTAAACCAAGCTTAAGCTTATTTATGCACGTTAGTCAAAAAAGATCTGTGCTCAAGACCGAGTCGAGTTTGTATAAGGCTTTACAAGCTCGAGCCGAGTTCAATACAATAAAGCTCAAATCGAGCCAAACTCAAGCTTGAGCCCCGTATAACTTAAACGAGCCCGAGCCGAGCTTGGCCATGTTAGGGCTCCGCTCGACTCGTTTGCACCCCTAACGAAAACCAACAAAGTTTAACAACTTTTTCCATGTGAACCACTTCGATATGTTATGATCTGTTATGACTTATGAGGGGTGTTTGGTGTCCGTTGTATGATTTAGAATAAAAAATGCAAACCACAATGCTTATACGGTTTGATACTTTTTGAAACCACAAACCACAATACGAAAGTCCTAAACCACATTATATGATACAAATTGATGCATACATTTTGTGTGATTTATGCAGGTTGATGACGCCCCTATTTTTATTATAAATTAATTTTATTTCTAGAGATAGACTAAAATTAATTACATGTTATAAGATTTAATATATCCATGATGTCTATGTAGACCATGTATGATTCTAATCATACTGGGCATAAACCAAATTCATATCTTTCTATTTGTTTGTGTTATGTAATATATATATATATATATATATATATATATATATATATATATATATATATATATATATGCGGTGCGGTATGGTTTAAACTATAGTTATACAACTGAAAAGTCGATCGATGATAAAGCGGGTTGTGGGATGAATGTGACGAAAACATCATATTTTGCAAGTAATTTCTATCCACCAACCGCATCGTTCTTGGATTTTGTGGTGAAGAAAACAAAGGCATCGAAAACCTGGTGTTGCTCTTTTTCTTGATTGAAAAAGGTGGGTTCATGATCGGGGAGGAGGTTGAGCTATGTCGACGACTCGTTATGGTTGAGACATTGTCTTAATCTTTGCCAAGGCTGAAGCCTAGTACTAATTTGTAAATCCATTTAAAAGGGATGAGGAAGGAGGTAGGACCCCTTTATATTACTTTTATTTGAAAATTTAAAACAATAAAAAGAAAAGCTAAAGAAGAAATCATTGAATAGTGTTTTTCATCGGTTAGAGACTAATATTTTAATAAAATAATACCATAGAAACCGACTGAGTGAAAACAATAAGAAGGAACGCGAAAATTGAACCAAATCATATAATGATTCGTGTAATGTACTCAAGAATTTAAATAAACTTTTATATGCAATATAACATTAAAACATTGAGAGATAAATCTAAACATCCTTACTTGTTTTTGCAAAGCTTGAAACCACTTTAAGACATTGGGAGATAGAACTAAAGACCCTTACTTGTTTGGAAGGTGCATGTTATGGTCGAAAGAAATTTTGACATGCTTTTTTTTATGTAAAAATGGAAGACTAGAGATTAGAGTTGAACATAAAATCTGGTCTTCGATCCTACCCAACATTTAACTAGGCTTGTAACATTAAAAGTGAAACTAATCGTTGCATGTGTGTTCTGTGAGATTTTTTACATACCTTATACTAGGGCTTTCAACAAGCTACACACGATATTTTTGCAGTCTTACCCAAGCTGGATCTGTCCGAGCTTACGTGTCATGCTAGGATTATAGTTTTAACATGGTTATAGAAACTGAGATATGATTTTAGATGCGAGTTAAGTGAAATCAATAAAGACTAAGTTAGGTGGGTGCTAGAAATTGGCACTTTGAGCCTTTTGGACATTTTTCCCACTTTTAGCCGGACACACCATTTCCTTTCAACTATATCAAATGTACGAGTAAATATGAAAATAGTCCTAAATGTTAAACTACTCTTAATCATATTGTCTTTAAATAGAAAGCATATGGCTTAAACTTAAGAAAAAGAGTAAATCACATGAATGGTCCCTATGGTTTAGGGTAATTTGCATGTTTGGTCCCTAACTTATTTTTTTAACTTGGAAGGTCCCCATTGTTTGTTTTTGTTACGCTCTTGGTCCCTGTCTTACCTAAAAAAATATTTTGCCCGTGATTTTTTTTTAATTTATTTAAATAAACACTCCCCAACCCTACCTTCTCACCATACCTTACCTACCCCACCATTTTCCCTATTTAAATAATATTCTTTTTAGGTAAGACAGGGACCAAACATGTAACAAAAACAAACAGTAGGGACCAAGCGCCTAACAAAAACAAACAGTAGGGACCTTCCGAGTTAAAAAAATAAGTTAGTGACCAAACGTGAAAATTACCCCAAACCATAGGGACCATTCGTGTAATTTACTCTAAGAAAAAAGAATAGAAACGTCCAACCAATGCAAAGCCCATGGGCTTTAATGGGCCGGTTTTCATAAAAAAAAAAAAAAAAAAAAAAAAAAAAAAAAAAAAAAAAGAAAAAAAACAGATCGGGTTTTGAATAGGCGGCATTGGCCTGGGTTGACCACATATTGGGCTTTATTGTTCCGGCAGGCTTGCCGGTGTAGTGTTCAACAACCACTTGCATTTAAAATAATCAATATTCCAAAACATTATAACATATAGATAAGACATAAAATTGTTCATTTTATAAAATAATCCAAAATCATAAACTAACAACGTGAACGATTTCAACTATTATTCAACAATAAATTACCTCTTAACTTCATTATTCTACAAAAATCACAACTAAAAGAAAACCCCAAATATGTGCTCTAACAAGCACATCGGCTTATACAACTAAAGCCGAATTATCCATAACTTTGCACAAAAAAACAACTCGACAATTACTTCCAATCGAACAAACAAACAAACGAGCGGCTTACTCCTGACCTAGACTTCTTAGTCTTTAGCACAACCACAAGACTTTACAAGTCACCTCAGCCACTAACAGCCGACACAACTTTTTAAAAATCATTATTCTTAAACTTATCAAATTTAAATGCAAAGTCAGAGAGTCCTTCTCCACGTGGATTCCTCCGACAAAACCTTCATTACGGGTTAGACCTTAAACTACACGAACTCCTCCAAAAACAAACCATCGTCTTTATATCACTAGAAATAAAATCCTGATCACCTGCAAAAAAACTGAACAATATTCAGTGATAAATAATTATAAACGGTCCCCACACTGAAAAAATAATGTTAAATAATTGTAAATTTGTATTAAAGACTTGTTGGCGTTACCATTGAATATAGATTGCTTATTTTTTGAGACCATTACTTGACAAAACCTTTTTCCCGTATGGGCTTGTGCGTAGTGCAGGAACATGGGGTTTTATTGCCTCGATTAATGCCTCACGTAGAGCTCCCTGGACACAAGACAAGTAAGTATATACAATATACATGTATACGTGTTTTGTTTATTATAGTATCCTATTTTTATTTATTCTTAATACAACACTATAGTTTGAACGCCACTTATAGCCATATATACCAAATACAAACTATTTTCTTTACTATAATTGGATGGATATTTCGAAAGACAATGTCCTTATAAGAAAAGAACGGAAGTACAATATTATATTTGGATTGATTTTTCAAAATACATTGACTTGATAGAAAACAAATTGTAAATACTAGAAGGAAATGAATGTAGAATTATATAAGAAACAAACAAATAAATAGAAGTACAT